ACTCTGTGATTTGCATGATTCTTATTCAGTTCTACTGTATGTACAGTACAGATAGCTGTATCCAACAATAATCTCCATAAAAAGAGAAACCTATTAAGAAAATCAAAGCCTTTCTCCCCAAATCTGGCAAATATTAATGGAGGTAAAAGAAAAAAATTCTATTAACTGTCCTGATTTGTCCTTAGACTTTTCTCGCTCCTAAGAAATGATACTAAAACACACCTCTTTCACTGTTAAGTCATTTTTGTGGGTTCCACCTAACAATAATCTCTGCATCATTCATAGCCAAGCAACGCAGGTGGAGCTCATTTAGAATCTGGGTGAACATCCTATCTGGAGATCCTTTTTTGTCATGATTTAGCATGCTTTTATATGAACTAACAACTCAAGCTATTTCCAATACTCCAAGGGAGATCAAGTCATAAGAGCCTGACGATACTCTAGGGACAGTCACTTTCATAAGTCTCCTGTGGCCGGCAGGTGGCATGGTGGTTAATGGTGCTTGACTCCCACACGGCTGACCACAGTTCAAGTCCCAGACCTGGTGGCTTGCTTTCTCACGTTCTCTCTCTCACTCTGCCCCTCTCTGGTCAAACTAAAATACATACATAAATGAAGTCAAAATAAAAATTTTAAAAAAGACATGTCTCCTAAATTCTAATAGCTAAGCCAAGAAAGGGCAAATAAAAGAGGACACCATTTTCATTCAAGCAGTACCCTTTCAATTCCAACCAAGCTTGTCAAGTCCAGGGAACCAGCAGTTAGCGTAATGGCTATGTTGCTGGACTCCCACGTAGTCAACCGCAATTCGCGTCCTGGACCCAGTGGCTTAAAACTCACGCTGGGCGCGTGTGCGTGCGTGCCCAAGATCCCGAGAGGAAAATGGAGGAGAAGGGATTGCGGCATGACCATCCCCCCGGGGGATGATTTCTCGCTTTCTGTCTCTATGTCTCTGTCTGTCTGGCGAGTGCACACGCCCTATAGTGAAAACATCTCCAAAAAAAAAAAAAAAAGAAGAAAAGAAAAAAATACCAGCAAAGATGAAAAAAGCTTGTCAAGTCCATATGGAGAAAGCCCTGGACAGAACAGATGTTATAAAGAATGGCTTTTAGGCCAGTCCATGGTGTGGTGAGCTAAGGAGGCTGAATCCCACATGGCTGATTGTGCCGTTGAAGTCTTGGACCCAGCAGCTTGAAAAATACAGTGTGTTTATTATACGAGTGTGCATGCTTCTTCACCAAAATACCTAAAGAAGGGATAAAGGGAGAAGGAACAGTTGCATGACTATTCCCTAAGGGAGATGCTTTCTCATTTTCCCTCTCTGTTAGCAAGTGCATGTGCCATCTGGCAAAAAAGAAAAGAATGGCTTTTCAATGATAAAGACTAAAGGTTTTCCTAGCACCAACTAACCCTACATTCTGAAACAAAAGCACAGAAGTAGGACACAGGGTAAACGCAAAGACACCTCCTAGGTGAAGAATTATTGGGTTCAAACCCACATGGTTTCCATGAGATTCATAACTACAGCCTCCTTCCTTCAAAGAGTTTATGTGGCCCTATCTGTGACTCTGATGCCAAAAACAATTAATAAGATGTAAACCATTATCAACAAAAGATGGGAAAAGACTTATTTTGTGCAAGGCAGAAAGCCTTAAAAACTGGATTACTTTCCTCTGTGAGCTGTTTATAAATACAGAAACTGCCTTATTCTTTTGCATGTTAAAAAGAACCAATTTCTCTGGGACCAGCAGTTGGCGTAATGGCTATATTGCTGTACTCCCATGTAGTCAGCTGCGGTTCAAGTCCTCGATCTGGTGGCTTAAACTCACACCGGGCGTGTGTGTGTGCGTGCGTTCCCAAGATGAGGAGAACGGAGGAGAAGGGATTGTGATGTGGCCATCCCCCCTGGGGAGTGATTTCTCGCTTTCTGCCTCTCTGTCTCTATCTTTCTGGCAAGCACAAATGCCCTATACCAAAAAATCTCTCCAAAATATTAAAAAAAAAAAGAATATCAGTCCTTAACAAAGGCCCAAATTACCATGACTTATAAAATATGTACACTGTGGTCAATAGATGGCACGGCAGTTAAGGCACTGGATCCACGTGGCAGAAGGCAATTCAAGTCCCAGACCCAGGAGCTTGAAAAAAAATCACACTGGGTGAGTGTGTGTGGGTGTGCATGTGTGTGCCCAAAATCCCAAAAGAATTAGAGGAGAAGGGACTATGCTGTGGCCATCTTCCCTGGGAATATTTCTCACCTTTCTCTCTGGCAAGCTTATGCATCCTATGGCAAAAACCTAAAAATAAATAAAAAGATAAATAAAAGTATACATAAAAAATTATACTGGGGCCAGCAAGTAAAGTGGAGGTTGAAGAAGCTGGATCCCACATGAACAACTGTGCAGTAGAGTCCCAGACCTGGCAGCTTAGAAGTCACACCACTTGTGTGTGCGTGCGTGTGAATGAGATGGAGGATGAAGGGAGAAAGGGGGTGGCCATCCCTCCTGGGAGATCATTTCTCACTTTCTCCCTTTCTCTCTCTGCAAGCACACAAGCCCTATGGCAAACTAAAACAAAAAAGCAAACACACACACACACACACACTTTTTTTCTGTTTTTTTTTTTTTTTTTTTTAAATAAAAATAACAGTTCTCAGGCCAAAGGTGTGATGGTGGTTAAAGCTGATGGATCCCACATGGTTGAATACCCAGCAGCCTAAGAATCACACTGGGTGCATGTGAATGCATGTTTAAAATCCCAAGAAGAGAACGGAGAAGGGGTTGTGGCATGGCCATCCCCCTTGGGGATGCATTCTCTTTCTTTCTCAGTCCAACGAGCACTGAATGTGGTCTACAGCAAATTTTTAAAATAATTTTTAAAATATAATAGTTCTTTCTGATGGGAATTACTTATGATGGTGTTTAATACTTAGGGAACAGTAATAAAAAAATCTTTATGCTTTTAAAAATTTAGCACAGCTATAAATTACAGAATTTCTAACACATGTACTTCATAACAGGGTTGTAGAAAAACTTATAGGACAACAAATCAGAGTCCAAATTATGTGATAATCATAATGCTATTTAAAAAGAAAATCAGTTCCAGTACTATGGGCTAAATTATCACACAATATTGATTAAAAAAATGATGAAAATTATCTCACACCTGTCCTCCCATCCCCTAAAAAAAATACTAGCTCCAGATAGAAAGGATCTTGGTCTGTCAAACCATAATGCCATATCCTAAACCCTATGACAGTGCCTGGACCATATCCCAAACCCTATGACAGTATCTGATGAATGAAGGAAAAGTAAATGCCAGCAAACCTAGAGATCAGAGTTGATTACACACAAAAAGCTACACCTGGTGAATCAGAATATATTAACATAAGGTGATTCAAATGTGAACTATTCCATATTTTAGCAAAAAAGTCTCAATCAGAAAAACTCAAGACTTCAAGAGTAAGTGGTGTTATGTTAACAAACATTTCCTAGAAAACCTGCTGCATAAAACTGGAATTCACAGAAAACTGAATAACTATACATTCTGCTAAAAATTGTCAGGAACGCTATAGTAGAAAAATAGTGTCATTTACGAATCCATAATCCCAGCATTTTGCCAAATTATAAGAGAAAATGTTGCTGAACTTCGTGAGTGCTTTTTTGTCAGCATTTCTCACTTTCATAGCTTCTCACATTTACTTAGACTTCAAACACTTTAAACCCCTTGACTTAATAGTATCAGAACAGTTCATTCCACTGAGTATATCCTAAGTTTATTTACATAAAGACGGAAGTTGTCAAACCGACGTATTTATGTTCCTGTAATTTCTGAATTCTGCATCAGGTATATTCTTTCCTTTCAAATTTTAAGAATTGAGAGACGTCCTCAAGTTTTCTGCGAATAAGTTACTTAAGTCAATTAGGACAATCTGCAAACTGCACTTCAGAAAAAAACAGGATTTAAAAAGCGAATGCAAGCCCCCTCTTCCTTCTCTCCTTCCATGCGATATAGGTTGTTTACGGGTCTAAGGGTAAACCAAGATCTTTCCCTCTAGTTTTACCTTTCCAACGGCTAGTGTGTCTGTCTTAACGTAGGCCTGTTACTGTAGCGACCTGAGCAAGTATGTCCAGTTTCTGTTACAACAGTGCATTTTAATTGCTTGCCAACGGCTATCTGAATCAGACATGACATCAAAGTTATACCCTACATACTCAGCACCGAAAGTGTACGACTCAACGTAATGCCCAAAAAGAAAAGTTTCTGAACAGGACACGTTTGCTGTCAGTAAAACCGACAGAGTAGAACTTTGCACGGGGACGTTCCCCATTCTTTTTGGGCGTCCACGGCTAAGAAACGGAGAACCAATTGTTCAATTTGTTCTCTCGGGCTTCTCCCGGCCCTCCTCGGAGTGGCCAAGCAACCCTGCCTTAGAGTTTGTTGAGTGCTTAGGCGGCTTGTGGGATGAAAGATGCTATAAATACACCCGATGTTATCAGTATATTACCAATGAGCGCTACATGGAGCCCCTGTCACCCATCGGGGCAGGGTGATGGCCTGACCCGGGACCCGGGACCCAGGACCCAGGACCGGGGAGGGAGGGCGCAGTGCTCTCATCATCCCGCAAGCCAGGCGGGGCTATCGTAGGAATCGCAGTGAACCCACACGTGAAAAGTTACACACAGCACGCCCCGTACCAGGAGGCCTTCACCGTCTCCATCCCCGCCCGCAGGGCGGGAGTCCCGGGAACCCAGTGGGGAGAGGAGTGCTGGGGATTGGGCCTACACCCCAAGAACGTCCAGAGGTGTTGGGGCAGCGGAGGCGCCGGGCAGGGCCGACGCCGGCGGGGACCGGAGGCGCATCTTCCCCGGCGGGGGCGCGGCGCCGGCTCGGACGCCGGGCGCGGGGAACGGCCCGTCGGGGAGTTCAGCCCGGGCCTCGCGTGCAGCTCCCGGCCGGGCCCCCCGCCCCGGGGTCCCGGGCGCCTTAGAGAGACTCACCGGAAAGGCCCGGATCCGCATCTTGGTGTCCTTCCGGCTGCCCGTGCCTTTGCTCAGATTCGACATGGTGCTCGTCCCCTCCCCGGCGGCGGCTTCAGGTCGCACACCGAGGCGCCGGTGTCACATTTAAGACGGGCGGGCAGGCGAGAGGCGACGCTGGGGGCGGCGGCGCGGCCCCCGGGCTGGGCTGGGAGCTGGCCG